GCGATTAAATGTGCAGTACAGCATCACCGTATAGTCTCGGACACATGGTCGACGCACCTTGCCAGATGCATTGGGGGATGTGTGTTATCGAGACGTCTTGTGAGGTAGGTCAGGTTGAATGCGCAAGCAGGCAGACTCGCAGATGTGAGCGAAACTGAATAGCTGTGGAGGGCATGCGCAGGGTCTCGCCATAGAGAGTTGAGCCACAAGGTGTTGATTTGGGCCCAGCGCGCTACTGCCGTGTTCTTGCTCATTGCTGGATTCGCGACTTCGGCGGTGGTGTACAAGTTTTTCTATCCAATACGCCTTCCGGCTTCATCAAGCACAACACGAGACGTAGGCTTGCGGCCCCAGAGTATCGGGTGAAAGTCATTTGGGCGAGTTGGCAACAATGGCAGCACCAGCATGATCAGCGGTAGTATTGTTGCAGGGTCCTCCCTCTGGGGGGGAGGGGCGCGGGGAGCGGCAGTCGGCATGACTCGGAGTCCCTCTCATCCCCCTCCTCCTTGACCAGCAGGGGAGGTGGGCTGGATTCCTGTTCCTTCTCCTGGACGGGAAGACTGGAGTGCGGGGGCGAATGAAGGCTGCACACGGCTGCGCGGAGTCAGGGACATCTTCGCACACCGGTCCGTTGGTGGTGCGCGGCGCACTTTCAGGTGTCAGAGAATCGGTGCTGCATTGCCTCCAGCTCCGCGTCTCCCTTCGTCATCGTGTTCCTCCTGTGATCTCTACCCCCTTTGCTGCAGAGTCCGAACAGACCCTCCCATGCCCCTCTGCGGAAGCCCTGGTCGTCGACTCATCACTGCGTCAGTTTCCGAATGGACATCCCGATCACCCTCGGCGGGAGGAAGTGTATACATGCCTCCCGTATGATACATTATATACATATACATGTATAGATATATCTGTATTTATTTATATATATATATATACATGTGTATAGATCGAAGACGCCTACGGCGAATCACCGCCGCCCCCGGCCTTTTTAGAAGCGCCTATGTGGCCGAACGTTGAGGCCAGACCTGCCAAGCTATCGGACCATGTGTTCCCCGAATCGATGTGGAAAGCCTTCGGGGAACACGTGGGCATCTTGAAGGTAATCTTGGCCGCCTGGAGGCCATTTTGACCCGTTTCGGGCCTTCTTGGAGGACGTCTTGGAGGGCTCTTGGGCCGTCTTGGAGGCCATTTTGAGCGTCTTGGAGGCCTCTTCGGTCGTCTTGTGCCCTCTTGGGGCCGTCTTGGGCCTCTTGGGCGATCTTTGGGGGCACTTGGGCCGTCTCGGGCCGTCGGAAGGCCAAAAAAGCAAATGCCACAATCCTTTAAAAACTCATGGGAAATCAATGTTTTAAGTCTTTTCAGGCCTTCCTGGAGGCCCTCTTGGAGGCCCCTTGGGCCGTCTTGGGCCATCTTAGTGCCATCTTCGGCCGTCTTGGTGGGCATCTGGCCCGTCTGACGCCGTCGGAAGCCGTTCGGGGGGCCTCTCTGAGCCGACTTGGGGCCCTCTTGGAATGCTCCAGGGATGTCTTGGAGGCCATCTTGGGCGTCTTCAAAGCCTCTTGGGCCGTCTTGGGGGCCCCTTGGGGCCGTCTTGGGGGTCTCTTGGGCCGTTCTGGGGCCATCTTGGAGGCATCCTGGGCAATCTTTGGGGGCCTCTTGGGCCGTCTCGGGCCGTCGGAAGGCCGAACAGAAGCACCTATCAACATCCTTCAAAAACTTGAGGAGAAGCAGTGTTGTTGGCCTTTTCTGGCCTTCCTGGAGGCCGTCTTGGAGGCCTCTTGGGCCATCTTGGGCCAGCTTCGGCAATCTTGGTGGGCTCCTGGCCCGTCTGACGCCGTCGGAAGCCGTTTGGGTGGCCTTTCTGGGCCGACTTGGGGCACTCTTGGGGTGCTCCAGGGCCGTCTTAGAGGCCATCTTGGGCGTCTTGGAGGCCTCTTGGGTCGTCTTTGTGCCCTCTTGGGCGCCGTGGGGGCGATCTCGGGGGCTTCTTGGGCCGTCTTGGGTTGTCGGGAAGCCGAGAAGAAGCGAATGCCAAAATCCTTCAACCACCTACGGAAAATCAATGATTTTGGCCTCTTCGGGCCCTCCTGGAGCACCTCTTGGAGGCCTCTGGGGCCGTCTTGGAGGCCTCTGGGGGGCCTCTTGGGCCGTCTTGGGCTGTCTTGGACCCTTGGGCCGTCTTGGAGGCCGTCTTAGACCATCTTGGGCGGACTTGGAGGCCATCTTGGAGGCCATCTTGGGCCAACGTGGCCATCACGGAGGCCATCTTGAGCCGTCTTGGAGAATTGTTTGTGGACGTTGAGGTCGTTTGCGCGCCTGGAAGAGCCTCCCGGGAGCCCGGCGGGACGGGCCGAAGCGCCAGGGGAAGTTCTTTTGGAAAAAGAACCAAAACCAAACCGTAAGAAGTCAAGCACGCCAGGCATCCCTGTGATGAATCAACAGGGGGCGGCGGATATACACAGATCGAGTGGTGTTCGGCCCATCCCGCCACCGTGCCTGAGATGTTGGTCAGAGGCCTCCTGGATGCATGTGAGGCGGTGTTGGGAGTGTCTTGGGGCATCTTGGGGGCCTCTTGTGCGCACCTCGGATGCTTGTGGGGGGATCTTGGGGCCACATTTAGGCGGAGGGCCCAACATGTCAATTCGTGTTCCCCATCTTTGGGCCGTCGTGGTTGCCTCTTGGGAGCTCTGGGGAGCTCTTGGGAGCTCTTAGGCTGTTTTGGAGCGATCTTGGGCACCTCTTTGGCCGTCTTGGACGCTCTGAAAACCGCCGGGGCGGTGGTGCGACAACCATATAGAAGCCAATGGTGTTTAACGATGTTGGCCCCTTGGACCGCTTTCCAAGGCCTCCCAGACGGCCCTAAGAGAGCTCCAGAACGGTCCCCAGGGCCATACGAAACCATGTTGGACGTGCATGCATGGACCATGAGACCACGCGCTCTTGGCCTCTCGGGAAGTCACGCGGGGACTCCGCGAGCGGAGCGCCCAGGAGCGCCCGGACTTCTTGGCAGTGGGTCAGTGGGCCTGATCTGCGGAACTCCAAGGATTCCCTCAGCTCCTGAGGGCACATCCCCGAGATTGGCATCGCCTCTTGGACTGTCAATCTAAGGGATATGGATAGGTTTGAGGATAGTTCAGAAAGGCTTGCACGTCCAATGACGCATGTTCGGAACATCCTCGGGATCATACTGATCATGCAGCAGCCCTCGGCGTGTATATGTGTGTGTGGGTGTGTGTGTGCGTATATGCGCTCGGGATTGGCTCAATTAAAGGGTCAGGATAGTAGGGAACAGTAAAGGGAGCAAGAGAGAGAGAGAGCAATGGGTGTGGGACAGGGAGAATGAAAAGGAGAGACATGTAGTAGTTGTGTTCGTGGTTGGGCAGGTAGGAGGAGGATAAGGTTGAGAGCCCTGTGGGATGATATAAGTGTAGGAGAGTGGGAATGTCAAGAGGATATACAGAGGTAGAGGGAGAAACTTGCACAATACGTAAATACATAAGGAGAGGGAAAGAGAAAGAGACAGAAAGAGAGAGAGAGAGAGAGCGACAAAGATAGCGAGAGAGATAGATAAGGAGGGCGAGATAGAGAAAGAATGACGGGGGGGGGAGAGAGAGAGAGAGAGAGAGAGAGAACAAAAAGAGAGAGAGAGAGGCAGAGAGAGAGAGAGAGCGAGAGCGAGAGCTAGAGCGAGAGAGGGAGAGGGAGAGGGGGGGAGGGGAAGAGGGGTGAGGGGAGGAGAAAGGGAGAGGGAGAGGGAGAGGGATAGCAATGTATGCGAGTATATACTTGGATATTTATATTTTATATATATGTATAGAGAGAGAGAAGGACCCACTTATCGTACTCATGTACATCCCCACCTCCCTTTCCTAACCTTCTCGTCTGGTGGCATCCTGGCCATGCCTTGTCCTTCTCCTCGTCCCGTCTCTTCCGTCATCGTTTCCTCCGTCATCGTGTCCTCCCTCCTGTTCCATTTCTCCCCCCGTCTGTTGACAAGCACGCCCCCCATATCCAAGAGAGGGTCAGCCGATTACGTTGAGAGTAGCAAGTTGTTGACCCGCATCATAGTGATCAAGTTCCTGCTTCAGGAATTGCAGCGATGCATCCAATAGACGGGAGGTGACGGAGGGATGTGGAAGAGACGGGAGGATGGAGGAGGAGACAGGCGAGAAGGGAGGACAGGATGGAGGAGAAGGAGCGTGGGGAGGGGAGGGATATGGGAGAGGAGGAGAGAGGGACGGAGGGGAGGCGACGGGGAGGATGAAGTGAGGGATGGCGTAATGCTCCCCGCCCCAGGATCTGCCGCAGCAGCTGTGCATAGCACTGTACCTTTATGCCTGGTATGCGCCCAATGGGCTGCGCTGCCAGGCGTGTCTGTTCCACCCCCTCCACTGCAACAACGAGCACCCGCTGCACTGGACAAACCTCATCGTGTGTGTATTCACGCTCCTCAGCGCGTCTGCCAACCAGATCCTGTTGAAGGCCAAGTCGAAGAAGTACGACGAGGAAGAGGAATTCGGCGGCGCCCCCAGGGTGGAAGTAAGAAGGAGCAGGCATTCTCAGAAGGCGGCGGGGCTTCTCAAAAGCCGCCGCTTCTTCTGAGAGGTTGTCTGTGTTTTCAGGGAAGGCTCAGAAGACTTCTCAGAAGACCCGAGGCATTCGGAGCCTTCCGGGACGCCCCCTCTCACTTCCCCCCCTGGCGCGCCAGCTAGGAGTGCTTCCTCTTCTTCACGAGGGCGTCCATGCTCTCGGTCAGCGTGCTCCCGTTCAGCACGGCCGTCTTGTTGCTGTCCTCCTCGCTGTTCCACCTGCGGAACCCCATTGTATATCCAGCGCGGTTGTGCCCTCAACCGCCGACGCCCAGACGCTCTCCCCCCCTCTCGCTTTTTCCTCCCTCCTCTCCCCCTTCCCTCCCTCCTCGCCTCTCCATCCATCCCCCCTCGCCCTCCCTGCCCCCCTTCGCTCTCCCTCGCCCTCCTCTCTCCCTCTCCTCCTCCTCTCCCACCCCCCCCCTCGCCCTCCCTCCTCGTCCTCCTCGCCCTCCCTTCCTCTTCGCTCTCCCTCCTCGCCCTCCCTACCTCCTCCCCCTCACTCCCCCCCTCCCTGCATCTGTCCCTCCTGCACCCGCAGCCAGGCCGCCAGCTGTTTAAATGTCGCGCTGCCGCCCCCGCCGGCCTCCACAACCTACCCAGCGACGTGACAGACGCCGACAAGCAGCGCCACCGCTTTGCCGTTACGCTCGACACCGCACCTTCCCGCTCCCACACCGTCTAGCCGGCTAGACGTCGGCCGAGCTCGTTCGCATGGACCATGACCCACTCAGTGGTGAAGGGTGTGGAGCCGCACCAGGGAGCCCTCACCCCGCGGGCGGCCAACCTACCTTGATGCCCCCTGGGAGGAAGCTTACGCCGAGCCTTCCCCCGCCGAGGACAATGACGACCCTCTCGGTCTCGGTGGCTCTCGCGACGACGACGACGACGAAGACGACGACGACCCGCGGCGATGTCCGAGCCGCCAGCCACGCGGTAGCTGGGCCAAACCAGGCGACGCTTACGTATTATGTCGTTGACGCAGGCACCGCCAGCAAAGATTTACCGTCCCCGGAGGCCCTCACGGAGACGCCGGCCACCACTGCGTGCGCGCCATTGCCTGCAGGTGAGTGGTTCGCGCAGGACGTCGACCGACCAGCTCTCCGAGCAGTAACCGCTTTGGTCCCTTCGACGACCAGCGCGGTACCACTCACTGGGCGCCATGCCGCTAGCGTGACCCGCGACCTCTCAGGCGTCCGCCACCACCCCGGTCCGTCTGACCCCGTCCCCCTCGCCAGCCAGCCAACCATTGTGCACGGCGCCGACATCAGTCGAACACCGACCGCCGTGCCCCAGGCTTGTGATCGTTTCTTGATTCATTGTCTTGCCGATCGGAGCCGTCCCTTGCACCCCCCCCTGGAGTAGATCTTGGCTGTTTTGGGCGCCTGTTTCGAGCCAGTGGAGTCTCCCCCAGAATGGACGCACGGTTCCAAACAGCCGCACTAAGCAGAGGTCTCGGAGCCAGACGCCCCCCCTTCACCCCCCTTCCGCCCTACGTCGAAACGCCGAATACAAAAAAAAACGCTCACCAGTCGAACACCGACCGCCGTGCACCAGGCGTCCCCCGCATCTGACGACCCCCTGTCGTCACCCCCTGCCGCGCGGGTGCCTCTCAGGAGCGAGGGGGCCAGCAGGTGCTCGCCGCTCACCTCCGCGCCCCTGCCGTTCTACCCCAACCGCGCGCCGCGGACCTGCAGAGGCCACCAGCGACGGCACGGGCCACCGCTCTGGCGACCTGAACCGCAGCCCTGCAAGCCCAGTACGACTCCCTCACTAACGTCGGGGAAACGTAAGACTCGAGTAAGCCGGAACTCTGGTTCGCCGACGTTTTTTGACGAGCGCGTCTTGGATTTGGACGGTCCGGTTTTCGCGGGATGTTTGCGGCGGGAGCTTGCGTCAAATTTCAGATGGGGGTTCGTCATTTTTATGATGGCCCCGTCAGGCCAACCCGAGTTCCCCGTACCCGAGTCTTACGTCTCCCCGATAACGTGCTCCGCAGCGCCCCGGAGCGCCATGATGCCCTCATGCAGCGTCTTCAGCGCGCCCAGAGTGGCGTGGGCGGCCCTTTGGCGGCCGTCCTTCCCGCCACCACCGACGGTCGACCTGGCAGCCGCGAAGAAGGTTTTGCGCAGTCTTGCTCCACGGCTTCCAGCTGGCCCATGGGCTGACCCATTTCGCACCGCATTCTCGCTACGAGCCAGATGACGCTTGGCAAGCGCTCCGCGGTTCCGCGCTCACCCGCGTATGGCTGCCCTGCGTGTGGAACTGCACGCTGCCGACGCCCCCACGGAAAGTAGGGTTAACCAAGCGGCAGCCCGTCTGTTTCCCAACCATCCTGTGATGTTGGGCCCTCGAGTTGAAGAGACGTCGCTCCGTCTTCTCCTCTCCTCCTCGCCCTCCTCCCTTATTCGTCTTCTGTTGATTATCAGTATTATTAGCACTATTCTGGTCATTAATACGAATAAGGACATTATTGTTGTTCTTAGTGGTCGTATGTTATAATTATGTGTATTATTCGCATTCGCATGATTCTCAGTGTCAGCATTATTGCTGTTCGTCTTGTTATTCTTAGTATTCGTATGCTTACTCTGGTTCTGCAACATCTTGTTCTTCTTAGTAGCATTAGTCGTCGTCGCTTTATTTTCATTCGTAGTATTTCTTTTCTGCTTCTGCACATCCTTGTTATTCTCAATATTCGTGTGATTCATCATCGGCGTCGTCCTCGTCGGCGTCGCAGCATCAGCATCAGCATCATCATCATCAGCAGCAGCAGCATAATCATCTGCAGCAGCAGCAGCATCAACAACAGCAGCAGCCACGTCATCAGCATCAGCATTAGCATCATCATCAGCAGCAGCAGCAGCAGCCGCCTCAGCATCGTCACCAGCATCGTCGTCGTCGTCACCATCAGCATCAGCATCAGCATGATCCTCATCAGCATCAGCATCATCACCAGTGTTGACACTGTCATCCTCGTCACCATGATCAGTATCATCAGCATCACCAATGTCAACATCAACATCAATATCATCATCAACAACATCATCAACAGCATCCTCAGCATAATCATCTGCATCACCATCATCAGCATCACCATCACCATCACAACCACAACCATAATCACAGTCACCACCACCACCACCTCCATAAGCATCAGCATCTGCATCATCAGCAGCAGCATCATCAGCATCGTCATCACCAGCATCAGCATCAGCATCATCATCTGCAGCAGCAGCATCATCCTCATCGGTCGTGGTGTTCGGCACAACCCTCACACGGTTCGTGGCCTCATAGGGAGCCCCGCGGAAGGCCCAAGTGGCAGGGTTCGCACGGCGGTCCCGCGCAATTTCAACACAGCCTTCATACGTTTCGTGGCCCCACAGGGAGCTCCACCAGAGGCCCCAGTGACAGGGCTCGCATGGCGGCCCCGCCCCATTTCGGCACATCCCTCATACGTTTCGCGGCCCCAAAGGGAGCTCCACCGAAGGCCCCAGTGGCAGGGTTCGCATGGCGGCCCCGCCCCATTTCGGCACACCCCTCACACGCCCCATAGGGACCTCCACCGAAGGCCCCAGTGGCAGGATTCGCATGGCGGGCCCGCGCCGTTTCGGCACACCTTCACACGTTTCGTGGCCCCACAGGGACCTCCACCGAAGGCCACAGTGGCAGGTCTTTACATGGCGGCCCCGTCCACCTTCGGCACACTCCTCACACGTTTCGTGGTTCCACAGGGACTTCCACCGAAGGCCCCGGTGGCAGGGTTCGCATTGCAGCCCCGCTCCATTTCGACAACCCCGCACACGTTTCGTGGCCCCACAGGGAGCTCCACCAAAGGCCCCAGTGGCAGGGTTCGCTTGGCGGCGCCGCCCCATTTCGGCACACCCCTCACACGTTTCGTGGCCCCAAAGGGAGCTTCACCACAGGCCCCAGTGGCAGGGTTCGCATGGCGGCGCCGCCCCATTTTGGCACACCCCTCACACGTTTCGTGGCCCCAAAGGGAGCTTCACCAGAGGCCCCAGGCAGGGTTCGCATGGCGGCCCCGCCCCATTTCGGCACACTCCTCACACGCCCCATAGGGACCTCCACCGAAGGCCCCAGTGGCAGGGTTCGCATGGCGGGCCCGCGCCATTCCGGCACACCCTCACACGTTTCGTGGCCCCACAGAGAGCTCCACCAGAGGCCCCAGTGGCAGGGTTCGCATGGCGGCCCCACGCCATTTCGGCACACTCCTCACACGTTTCGTGGCCCCACAGGGACCTCCACCGAAGGCCCCAATGGCAGGGTTCGCATTGCGGCGCCGCCCCATTTCGGCACAACCCTCACACGTTTCGTTGCCCCAAAAGGAGCTCCACCGAAAGCTGTACTCATCACGCGGTACCCACACTTGCATACGTTTGAACCCTTCGCCAGGATCAGTTAGGGGAACAAGCAATGACAAAAAAATGACAAGTCAGAGGCGCGCGCGGATTTATCGGATCCACGTTGGACCCCCTTGGCGCCGCCTCCAGCGCCGCCCCTGGCGCGCTCAGCGCGCCAGGGAGGGGGGTCCAGCGCCGATCCGAGAAATCCGCGCGGAACTCCGCTTATGTCGTTCTTCATTCCCCCATATTTGCGGTGCGCAGAGGCGGCGCGCTTCGCCTCGGCGCCAGGGGCCGGCTTCGCTTTCGGGGGCCCACTGTTTCTTCGGGCCGCGCTCGCCCCCGAAGTGAGCACGGGGGCGGGCAGCCCCAGACACGCCAGGGTCGGCACCGTTGGGGCACGCGGGGAGCATGACGCTGTCCTCGTCTGGCCTCCTCGGGGCGCTCTCCCCCTCTCTCTCTCTCTCTATATATATCTTTCTTTCTCTCGCTCTCCTTTCTCTATCTCTCTCTCTCTCTCTCTCTTTCTGTCTCGTTCTCTCTCTCTCTCTCTCTCAGTCGAGTCTGCGCCCCCGCCATCCCGGGGCGCCCGCCGCGCGGAGCCGCGCGGGGCGCCGGCGGCCCTCGCCGCCGGGGTGCCCGCGCTGCTGGGGTGGGGCACGTGCCTGTGCGTGCCGCTGTTCGCCGTCTGCGACGACGACTTCTAGGAGGGCGGCCCCCGCCTGGAGGGTCTCTCCGAAGGGTTCGGGCGACCCCTCCTCCTCCGCCTCCTCCCCCTCCTCCTCCTCCTCCTCCTCCTCCTTCTCCCCCTGCTCCTCCTCCAGCCCCCCAGGCTCAGGAGAATCCAAGGAGGGGGGGTTCATTGCACCGACAGGAGGTGCAGAGAGGTCGCTCGACTTCTCTCCCGCGCGGGGCCCCATGCTGCCAGCGGCGCAGGCACGGGCCGCCCTCCGCGTGCTCGGGTACAACCCGATGTACGCGACGGGCCATCGCCTGTCCGATATCCTCACTGCCACTCCAGCAGCCGACGCTTTGATGCTTGCGGGGACTCAGGAA